AATTATATGTACATTTGTATGAGACCACCATATATAATATAGATATTTTTTTTCAAAGTGAGGCAAAATTATTTTCTAAATTATATTAAATGTAAGGCAACATTTCTCATTTTCATTTAGTTTAATCTGATATACTTAACTAAAACTGAAATGAAATAAAATATTAATAAAAAATATTACAATTATATATTAAATTGAATATATGAAATAGTAATACAATTATATATGAAATGAATAAAAATAAATACAATTTTATATTTATATTTATATAAAAAAAACAGAAATGCACAACAAAATGACAAAAACTTTTAACTAAAACTAAAATGCGAAGTAGAAAAATAAAAGCTAATGTAATAAATGAATAAAAACTGCACAGGTGGAGCAGATGAAGTATAAGGACGAGCGCATCAAGCTGATGAACGAGATTCTGAACGGCATCAAGGTGCTGAAGCTGTACGCCTGGGAAACCTCCTTCAAGCAGAAGATCCTGCAGATCCGGCAGAAGGAGCTGAACGTTCTGCGTAAGACGGCGTATCTCAGCGCTCTCTCCACCATGGCCTGGACCAGCGCGCCCTTCCTGGTAGCTTATCTCTTTCTCTGCGGTTTCGTGTGTCTGATGGAAATGCAGAATCTTATCTTTGATATGCCTAATGATGCGGTGGATCCCTATCTAGGCGTCGAGTTGCCGGCTCATGTTTCAAAAGTGCATTAGCCGGCGTGATTAATAAGCTCAAAGTGCAGAAGAAACACGGCCCTTTGTTTGCTTTTGATCCGTTTGACTCTTGTAGGTTTGTATGATTGTCTTGTGCAGGTGGCTTTGACCACGTTTGCTGTGTTCGTGACTGTGGATGTGAACAATGTCTTGGACGCAGAGAAGGCCTTCGTGTCTCTGTCTCTGTTCAACATCTTGAGGTTCCCGTTAAACATGCTTCCGCAGGTCATCAGCAGCATCGTACAAGTGAGCCTTCCTTAATATTACTGGAAGATTACAGCTTAAATACAACTTTAGAGCAATG